GGCTAAAGCTTCATTGATGGGAAAACTCTGCCTGAGAAAGATAGCTGCTACACCATGGGGAAATTATTCAACATAGGGGATCCCATCAGCTGTCCTCTCAGCTCTCCCTCCAGAGCCACCAACCTCAGACTCTCCTCATGCAGCTCTTGTTCTCTCTGCCCCTCCCTCTGCCAGAGCCCACATAAGTGGCTGCAAATGAAATTTAGTGTGTTGGCCCTTTAAGGGGTTGCCTGCCTTTCTAACCATCTCTCCCTGCTGGACAGAACCTGCAGTGCTTTTCACAGTCAGGTGTTATGTGGGCACCATTCCCAGTTCTGTTACTCTGTTCTGGGGAGCCCAATTTGGGGTTTAAACCCCAAAGTTCTCAGGGGGAACACCTCACAGCTGAGATATCCCTCCAGAACTTCAGCTGCTCCCCATGGGAGCCCAGCCAGCCCTCTTGCACTGCTGCTCTTCCTACCAGTCTCATTGTGGCCTCCTCTTTGCATTCCTTGTTTATAAGGGTTCTCTGCAGCAAGTCTTCAGTTGGTTATTCAGGATGATTTTTCTATATTTTAGTTGTAATTCCAGTTTGTTTCTGGGAGAATGTCTGTGTAGCTTCCACTTCATTCACCACCATCTTGGAATCCCTTGTTTAATTTCTTTAAAATGCATTTCTGTGTGCGCCTGGGTGGTGGGCCTCTGGGTCACTGTGCAGGGTCAGGATTCAGCAGCATGTTTGCTGAGCAGTCAGCTCTGCAGGGACGCAGCAACACCATTTTTTAATAATGTACTTGCAGGAGTTTTTACCATTGAAACTAATGAAACCTAAGCTTCAGGATCTTTCATTTTGATGGGTTCCTGTGTTTTTTAGAAATAGTTATGAATTATAGTATTCAAAGTGGACAAGAGAAGCCAGGTTGCTATCAGTAAGTTTTTCTGGTAAATTACCAAGAGATCTAAGAAGAAGGAAGCCCTCAAAACTATATATAGCACAGCCTGGATCCATTTCTTAACATTCCTCTCAAAATCTCTTATTTCACACACTGATTTGGGGGAGGGAGTCTGATGGAAGATCAATGAGAAATTATCTTCTCATTGATATCATAGTCAGAAGACTCTGAAAGGGGCCTAAATTTGGCAGTAGTTGGTAAGCCATTAGATCATAATACAAACTGGGCAAGATATCATAGTCAGAAGACTCTGAAAGGGGCCTAAATTTGGCAGTAGTTGGTAAGCCATTAGATCATAATACAAACTGGGTAAAAATAGAATATTTAGAGTACAAGAAATATGAGGGGAAAGTCTACCAAAATAAAACTAGAAACTTTGAAATTATTGTTTTGATTACTCCAGTTACATTTGTTGAGAATCTATGTGCATTTTAGCATTTTCTATTTAGGGAAGTTTTATAGCATTAGCATTGAAATTTTATTTTATAAATGGAGAAAATACTCTTGGCTGAAACTCCCCAATAAACTATTTTTATTCTTGCTTTCAGGCGCCTCATCACAGATTCAAAAGTTAAATTAAAGTATCAGCATTTAATAACAAATAGCTTTGTAGAGGTAAGTGATTTCTCTTAAGTTTTTCCTTTTTTAATAAGAGGAATTCTTTTTTATAATAGAAGTATTAATTTTTTATATAAAAGTACTCTGGACAATAAGAGACACCTTTACGATAACATGAGTTATAGACTTTTGTATGAAGCATACCAAAACACCTTTATTCTCAAAGAAATGTGACAAATCAGTAAATAGATGTCTCTTCATACATTTTGAGCTTTGATAATAAAATTATTTTTATAGTATTCTTCCTTTATATTTCTTAATCCCTAGCAGAGAATTGTAGCAGAGAATTAATGATGTCATGTTTAATCACGTTTGATATTCTAACTCTGCTTGTTTTAGCTTCCATTACCAATAAACTTTGTTAATAAATAATCCTGTAGTTATATGTTTTTATCAATGTCTTTCTTTTATCAGAACAGAGGTCTGCAAACTAGAGCATGCCTGTTTTTTTAAATAAAGACTTATTTGACCATACTCATTTGTTCTATACTGCTTTTGTGCTACAGTGGCAGAGTTTGAATAGTTGTGGGAGAGGACATTATGTCCCATAAAGCCAAAAATCTTCACTTTTTGGATCTTTATGGAAGAAGTTTGCTAGCTCCAGTATAGGAGCATCAGTGTAACTTGATGTTTTAACTTTTTCTAGAGTTACATTACTTTGTAGTAATTTTTATTTCTATTAGTGATTAAACTGAAGGTCAGATCTTCTAGAAAACAGCATATTTTAGGCATAGTAGTTTGTTTGTTGAAATGGTCGATAAACTTCAATTCTGGTCAGAGTGTTTTGCCATGCTTTATTCCATAACAAAAAATGCTCCAGAAGTTCTGTTTCCTTTTGTTCTTAGAAGGGTTTTTAATGGTCAAATGGAGAAATTACATGTATATCTCTTTGCTTGTTTCAAACTATTCTTTGTCATCTAAACCCCATTCCTGAGTTGGAGAATATATTGTTTTCCTGCATCTTTCAAAGTTGCCCTGAAATAGAACCATAGAGAAATTGATACTTGTTAATGGTCCCATAATAGGTAATTATTTTAGACTTTCTCTGGTATTTTGAAAAGAGAACAAGAAGTACGTAATATATTTTATAAAACCAGCTCTTCAGGGGATCTATAATCTTAGAAAAACAATGCATGATTTCCTAATGCCTCAGTCTACTTGATTTTAGGAATATAGCAGCTTGACTATAGTGACTCCATTTTATTTCTTCGCTCTTTCCTTACTAAGTTGTATACTTTTATAATAAACTGGTAATCTAGTAAGTAAAGAAAAGAGAAGGAAAAACTGCATCCAAAAGGCACTGCTGTAAAGGACTGAGTATTGGTGGCAGGTTTTTATATGCTTGTCTCACCAACCCCCTCTTTGCCCCTTATACTAGGGAAGCAATATAAATAATTGGTTGGTGTGCTAGGAAATCTTGAATAGTGATTTAATTTGTCATTTTTTATTTTCTAACTTGTATTTCAGTGCAATCGACTGTTAAAGTGGTGTCCTGCCCCAGATTGCCACCATGTTGTTAAAGTCCAATATCCTGATGCTAAGCCTGTTCGCTGCAAATGTGGGCGCCAGTTTTGGTAAGCAAGTGATTTCTTAAATTGAAATAGTGCACATAGCTTTTCTATTTATTCTTAGTAGTAAAATAGAAAAAAATATTTTACCTCAGGTAGGGAGGAAGGGAGGTGATACTGGTTTAAAATAGTGTGTATTTCTTTTAAATAACAATTAGAGTTAAAAAGTCGCATTCCTCTTTCCTTGTCACCCTAAATTTCAGATATATTTTCTTATGGGGAAAAGTGCAGCTATCACATTTTCTTGTGTGTTCTAGTGGAAGTTAAATGGGAGCAAACTTACAGATCTGGGACAAGAATTCAATTACTCTCATTTCTGATTGACTGCTTATTTTGTCAAATTATGTTTGGTTCCTTTATGGCTCTTGCTCTGTTTTCAAGTTATCTCTTAGGAATAAAATACACAGTTAGGGCTTTTTTAGAATTTCCTTTGCTCTTACAAGTTTAATTACTCCTAAGAAGAAAATGTTCAGGTAAATTTGGAAAGGTAAAACATGGTTGATTAGATGTGCTTTTTTAACTGAGTTTTCCTGTGGCCCCTCTGGTAACCTAGGTTCTTGGAGTTCTCTTGCATACCCTTCAGTCTTTGAGTTCTAGACTCAGCTTACCAGGAAACTTCCAATAATACCACATATTAGAGAACTAAGATGATCTTCCATTCCTTTGTTGATCTTTTAGGAATGAGAAGCCAATCAATCCAAGGGGCTCTAGAGGTAGTCCTTAGACACTTTATTGGCATTGCATACCTTTTTTTTTTTTTTTTTTAACACCTACAGAATTAAACACATCATTAATATTAAATATTTCCAAAAAGGGCAGGTAAACTTACAGACATTAAATATGTGTAAAATACATGTTGTTTTGGTAATTATTAAATATACATTATTGTTTATAGTTTATCAGGTAGACAGGGTAGATTCTGATTCCATACCTACTTTCAAATATATTTTTAGTACGAAATACCTTGAATACCAACTAAATATACAAAATGACAGCAGTGAATACTTACTAAGTAACTACAACCCAGCTTAATCAAAATCAGTATTTTGTTTTTATTAAGTGGGACATGTTTGAACCCCCTTGGTTTCCTTCTCCATCCCATTCCTCATCTTTTCCAGAAGTAACCATTATCTTGACTTCATTTAAATGAATAGCACTTTGTTCCTCTCATTTGCAAAGGATTTTTGGCATTCCTAAATTACTTGATTAACTAACTTAGCCATTCCATGATTACATTTTCATAAAATTTTTGTTTATTCTTTTTAAAAAATATATATTTTTATTGATTTCAGAGAGAGGAAGGGAGAGGGAGACAGAGAGAAACATCAATGATGAGAGTCATTGATCAGCTGCCTCCTGCAAGCTCTCTGCTGGGGATCGAGCCCACAACCTGGGCATGTGCCCTGACCGGGAATCAAACCTCGATCTCCCAGATTATAGGTCAGTGCTCAACCTCTGAGCCACGCTGGCCAGGCATTTTGTGTTTATTCTTAATTTATACTTTTTTCACAAATGTATATACTACCATTTGCCTAGAAAACAGAAAGTCATTAGCAATTACTATATTCTTAGAGAATATTTAGTCACACTCTTGTTTTACACCTTGTTTGCTACAATTTACCTCTACTGGACTGATGCTCATTTGGATCATGCAGATATGTGGCCTGTTTGCTTCCCACGTGTGCATCAGTACTAAATTATATATTACCCTACAGTGTCAGATTTCTTTCTTTATTTGAGGTGTTAAGTAAAAGACAGTATATGCTAATGAAGCATCATTGAAATTTAAGTTGAAATTTGTGAAAATGATTTTAGTTTGGCTTCAGAGAATGATTGTAGCAAGGAGCCATCTTAAAAACTGTCAGAAAAATGTAGATCTAACTAAACTGATTTTTTGTTGTTGCTTTAACAGTTTCATAGCTGTTTAGATAGTCATTTGTTATGGAATGGTCATCTAAACATGTCTTCGTGCTTATGGTCATACTTCATTCACACACAGCCAATACATGCTGACCCTAATACTAAATTCTAAATAATTTTGCTGTAGAATAAAGTAGACATGGTTCCTGCCTTTGTATTTGCCAATCACTGGTGAAAATACTGAAGAACTGTAAAGCATGGAAGTGGTTTGTTTGTTTACATACTTACAGTAGGTGGGACTTAATTCTTTTAACTCTTCTGTCACTTAACAGCTTTAACTGTGGAGAAAATTGGCATGATCCTGTTAAATGTAAGGTAAGTTTGTCTGGCATTTTCATTTTTAATTAATATACAGCACCTCTAAGATTTGTTGACTGAAAACTACAGCCGACAATTTTGTTATTTACCCATCAATAGATAAAAGATTTTATTTTGCCCTTTTTATTTCAGATGATCATTACAAGTATTCAGAACATCCCTTAGGAATAAGCCAGCTCCTGATATTATCAGGATAATTATAGTTAAGGCGCCTTCCTCAGGAGGCTTTATATTTGGCTAAGGAGAAGCCACCTTGGAGCAGGCATTCTAATCAAGCCAGAGAAAGTCCTCCTTTGGTTTATTTTTGTATATACTTGATATGAGAACTACAGGATTTCCTTGATTTAAAAGGAAGTAAACCCAGTGATAATCTTGTCCTTTGGCTTTTATATTTAAGTTTGACTAAATTTAAGTGTTGAAGTAATTTACTATCCTTATTATTAAGTCTTTTGTTGTACCCTAACAGTTTTTTTTTTTTTTCCCCAAACAGTGGTTGAAGAAATGGATTAAAAAGTGTGATGATGACAGTGAAACCTCTAATTGGATTGCAGCCAACACAAAGGTTGGTATTTTCCTTCAGTAAACTTGTGGTAATGAGGCAGCTTTAGCAAAAAAACCCAGTAAATTTACCTGGTTAAGGGTAAATTTTCTCGATTAAGGTTTGTTTTTGTTTTATCCAAAATGACTGTCTATTAATAATTTTTCTTTATTTTACTTTTTGAGTTTTATTTTATTGAGTTCTATACTGTAATATGGACCATACTCTACTTTAGAAATTTTCTTTTATTGGAAAAGCATGAGTTTCCTATGGAAGAAAAGGCTGATAATTTTCCCTACCCTGACATTTGCTATAATGCCTTTTCATATAGTTCTTGGCTTCCTTTTAGTATACAAATGTTGAGTTTACTCCACCTAACTTGGTTTTGTTAGGCTAATTTGTATTCCTGCCTTTAAAAGTCCCCAGGGTTTAACTTTTAAGGGATCATTTTTACAACAGCATTCAATCAGAGTAATTTGACTGTAACTTTTTAATATATAAAATATCTTTAACATGTTAAACTTCTATAATATGATATTATGAGACTTGACTTGAGAAAATACAAGTTTGGGGGTAATATGGGTATCCCTTGATTTTGTGTGTGTGTGTGTTTTATTTTTTGAAGTGCATTGCTCAGAATATACTAGTTTTAAGATTCAGTCTCTTTATGACCCTGAACCACTTCTTGAACACTAGATAAAAATCTTTCAAATGACAGTACTTTAATCTTGAACACCCTTATTTTCTATCACTAAGTAGTAAGCAAGCATTTGAATCCCAACTGTGTATCAACCAACCTCTGAATAGAAAATTATATAAATATCTAGTTTTTATTTAATTCAGTCTTATATCCCATCCAAATAGGAAGTGACTTGGGCTATGAATGATAGGGTTATTAGTGAGCTATTCATTTTTAGTATTGCCTTTAACATGTAAGATGATGCTTTAAATAATACTGAGTTGTTTAACTTGTGTTAGTTATAGCTTTGCACAGTTCCATCACTCAATCATAAGATAGTAATAAGGGGTGCTTAAATAATGAAGGCTAACACATGATTTTATACCATTAGTATCCTGCTCTACCCAAAAAGATTAAAAAATATATATTTATTTCTGTCTCCCATAAAGCATTAGCAGTGAAACTGAGTCTTTTCACATGGTACAGTGTCCACATCTTTGAGGACTATATGGTTGAAATATTTTTGTGCTCTCTAAAGCCATCATGATAAACATAAGTCTGTCTTGTCACTCATGAAAACCTTGCTGTAATGTCAGGAAATATGGTTACTTCTGTTATTTTAAAAAATTTCCTATGTTCGTTAAGGCCCCAGAATCCAATTTGCTCTGTAAAACTAGTATTTAGAATAGGGTAGCTATATTTTCACTAAATAGTTTGATTACTCTCTCACCCACTTTCTGTAGTCTAAAGAAATTACAAATACTCTAAACCCCCAAGATGTTTAAGTAGGGAATATAGGCTCGAATATGTTTGACTTTGTTTAGAAAGTAAATTATTGAGGAAGAATGGCAATTTGTGATAAGAAAGTTACCTACTTGATAGTTTTGGGGTGAAGCTAAAGAGTTTTTCTCTTGAGAAGTTTCAGAAACTTTTATTGTTATCAGCGCTTGAAACAGATTTGCAGATTGCTGATAGTATCCTAACATATTGAGAGCTTAATACTATTTGGTTAATTATATACAAGAAATGTAGAGTGAAACATATTTTAGGCCTGGAATTTGTTTCTTTGAGAAAATGTAAAATTTCTTATGTGTGTGATTTCAAAAAATTCATTTAAAATTTGCCATATTTTAAAGTTACCAAATTGCCATGTTTTTCAAATTACTGTAGTTTATGGGCAGTGTAGTCTGTTTCACAAGGCTAAATTGTACAAATAATATTATGGATACTACTTCCCCCTTGTGGTAGTTACAAACATCAAACACAAATAAATACAGCAAAAATATAAGCTTTATATTTTATTATTTTCTTTTAAATAATGAGTATGTTTGATTTTTCTGATTTTTCAAGAGAGAAAAACAATAGGCCTGCAGGGTAATAACCTTGGCTCAGTAGCAACGAAGAAAATGATACAGACTGGGGGCAAAAATCATCATCTCTGTAGCACAGTGTGAATGGACCACAATGAGAATTTAAAACAAGGATATTTGGCAGAAAGAAGTTGGGAAACTCGGTAGCCACAAAAAGGATTTACCAATTCTATTTGCCTGACTCTTGAGGCCATATTGCTTGAGTTTGAATTCTTACTCTACCATTTGCTACCTGTATGATCTTGGACTAGTTTGTTTATTTTCTCTCCCTTGGTTTAATTCATCTGAAAAATGAAAATAAGAATAGCACTACTTTAAGGATTATAAATTAATGCATATGAAACACTGAAACAATGTGAGACAGAGGAAGTACTCAGTAATTATTTTTAGATGACACTAGAGAGATAATTATATTTACATGAACAAACTGTTTTACCTCCCATAAAACTATTATTACCACATCTGTGGCTAAAAGTATTTAAAAAATATTTTGTCCTCCAACCCCACTAAAACAAACCCTTAAATTGTTATTCATCTTAAAAGCCAGTAATAATGATAACAGCTCATTTTCAGTAGTGCTTATTAATTGTTGTTGCATGCTGTTCTAAGTGCTTTTACATGTATTAATCACAGTAAATGTGGTATTTAAAAAGAAACCAATTGTAGAACTGGCTTCTCCTCAGTACTAGTAATACAACCTAGTGTAGCATTGACACCAACTTTATAGTTTCTCTTCATAGGAATGTCCCAAATGCCATGTCACAATTGAAAAGGATGGCGGTTGTAATCACATGGTCTGTCGTAACCAGAACTGTAAAGCAGAGTTTTGCTGGGTGTGTCTTGGCCCTTGGGAACCACATGGATCTGCCTGGTAGGTTGGGGAAATGAAGGGGAAAATATGTTCACATAAGTATGTGATATATGCTGCATATTATAAATAAGGTTTCTACTTCATGGAGCTGGCTAAATGAATACAGTGTGTAATTAGTGTTAGAAATATATGCAAGATACCCTGAGAGAGGGATTAGTTAGGCATATTTCACAGAGGAGGTAACTGAGATAAATTTTAAGGACTAAGAGTTCATTGGTTGAAGTAGTGTTACAGAAACATTCAGGGCAAAAGGAGCAGCATGAACAAAGGTAAAATGATGTGAATGTGCATGACTTGTTCAGAGAAGAGTTGCATTGTCTAATATGTCTCTTTCTAGGCAGTAATTGAAAACTAAAGGACTACTGGCAAAACCCAGCATGCAGTTGTATTTTACTTACCCTGCCCACCATTACACAAAAAATTTGTTCCAAACTTTGAAAATTGGAAAATTGCCCAGTGCAGTTCAGATTTTTAGCTTCTCTTGGAAACATTGGAACAGGCCTGCATTTCTGCTTGGCAGCAATCATCTGGAATTGATTACTAGCCTTTCCTTTTCAGTTTATGTTTCCCCAAGACTGAAGTTTAATGGCATTTGCATATATCATGATGGCACATTTAGTTGAAATATATACCTTTGCTCCGTGCATATTTCTTATTCATTTGGAAAAATGCAAGTTAGACTGAGGATGCCTTGAATTTTGAGAAAAATGGGAGCTAGCGTATCTCTTGGTAAGAGTGAAACTATTTCTGAGTGTTATAATATGCAAATGACCTGTTTCACTGATTTGAGTTACCTGCCTGTCCCCTATTGGCCTTTCAGTTTGTGGGGAAAAGGAAAAGAACATAAACTGGGACCTAAAATAGTTTGAACAGTATCAGGAGGATTTTAAGGGTGTGACATAATCGGATCTATAATTTAGATGAGAAGGTTCCTGTTATGTTCTTTCATATATTGTCTCATGATTGTGGCTGCTTTGTAGAGAGTAGATGGGAGGGGAATAAATTGTAGGTTCAAGACAAGATGAGGATCTGAACTGAAGACAATGGTAAGTCTTCCCTATTAGTTTTGTTGGAACTTTCATTAGTTTCATTAGTTAGAGGAATAGTATGAGGGATTACTTGTCCGAAATTAATTCTGAGCCAGGTAAAATCTAATTGGAAGTAAAGAAAGTGATTTTGCCACTGTCAGAGCCAAGAAAGGATGTTTGGGTTTTTGCCAGACATGTACTCTGGATTTTAAGAAGGCAAACGAGGATTAGAATGTTCAGAAATTAAATTCACTCTAATATATTTAAATAAGCCTAGTGAAGGGGAGAGGGAATATGGAAGAAGAGTTATTAAAGAGATATATTTCTGTGTGTAAGGTAAGCTCTGATCACAACGTAAATTTGAAATGAGCTGTATTGAAAACTAAGAAAGGTACAAAACAAATTGTGGATACAGAAGAATAAAGAAGGGCCTGGATCAGTGGTATCAGAAAAGTTGCCTGTGTCTTTCCTTTACTCATGGCTAGGACTGCAAATGATTCATACTCTGTTTAAATCTGAAAATGCCTCAGAAGCCTCAAAATAGTATTCAAGTAGTACCATAAGTTTTCTGAGTTAGAAGTATAAATGAATCCTGTTTGCTTTTCTACTTTAAAGTCCTTAATAATCTTGGCAGAGTAAAGCCCAGAATTAATTGAGGCTTATAAATACCTTTTCAAAAATGAAAGAAAAATTTTAGGGGCTATCAGATAAGAGGAGGTGTTAATATTTGACCAGTAGAGGACAAGGAGAGGTGATCTTTGGGGTAAATTGAGTAGTTATTGCTAAGAGAAGGTTATAACCCAAGCTGGGGGGAGATTAATAAATCTCCTGATTTAGGTGAATTGTGGTCTGGGATATTTTAAAAACTTGAAGATGAGCTCAGTGAGTCATTTTTGAGTAATTTTGGAAAATAGGAAGCAAAGACTGGAAGCAGATAAAATGTAATTCCAAATTTCCAAATTTTGTGATTCTATAAACTACATATGAGCCATATAACTTAATTTTTCCCTTCTGTTAAATCCCAGAATCCAATGGTATTAGGATGATGGATTAGGGAATGTTGTTTTGTTTTTGTTCTTGTTTTGTTTTTAATCCTCACTCGAGGATATTTTTTGCATTGCTTTTTCAGAGAGAGTGGGTGGGGGGAGAGAGAGAGAGAAACATTGATGTGAGAGAGACACACATTGGTTGGTTCCATCCAGCACACACCCTGACCCGGACTGGGGATGGAGCCTGCAACCGAGGTGTATGCCCTTGGCCAGAATCAAACCCAGGACCCTTCAGTCTACGGACTGACGCTCTAACCACTGAGCTAAGCCAGCTAGGGCAGGGAATGTTTTATAGATCTCAACAAGATACTTCATTGTAAACTGCAAAGTTTGTGGCTTAGGCTGTGAATACAGAGAAGGAGGGATATTTGGGATTAATTGAATAGGAGTACAGATACTGGATTTGTGTCCTTTCTAAGCCTAATGGAATGCTTTATTGGTTTGCTGAAAGGCTTCGTCCTCGTGTGTGTGTGTGTGTGTGTGTGTGTGTTTTCCTCTTGTTGATGACATTCTTAAAATTAACCTTACATACACAAAGAGAGATGCTGAATATATAGAGCATTAAAATCCTGGAGAACTTGGCAAGCTGGAACAGTTATCCAGTTTAACAAGATTTTCTTTAGTTTTACAAAGATCACTGTTAAAAGATTCTGGAGTCACGACAACAGCATGTGAACAGTGTATTCACTGGTTAAGAGCATGGGCCTCAGTTGGCAGACAATGCATGAGTTTTATTCCCAGCTCTGAAACTAGTTTTGCAACCTTGAATGTTACTTATCTTCTCAAAACCTAGTTCTTCGTCTGTTCAATGAGGATAATAACAGCAAACATTTCATAAGATGGTTGCAGGAATTAAATGTGATAGTACATTTAAAGTTTGTAGTAAGTGTATTGTATATAGTAAGCACTCAATAAATACGAGCTGTTTCCATAATTAAGCTCCCATAAAAGAAGAGGTAGAGAGTAAGCAGGATGAGGGAAGTGCCAGTCTTTCCATTGCTACTCTGAGCTGACTTCTCTGGGTGGGTTTCCCCCAGCTCCTCACCTTGTTTACCATTCCATTTTCAGTGACTCTTTAAACTGTAATAGCATAGAGAGCACATATAGCACAGCGTCTATTATGTAGTGTTCCGTCAACTGTTGGTTCATTGGTCTATAAAAGAGAAGATTAGGAGGTGAGTAACTCTGGAAAAATTGGGAATATTTGACCTAAATAATAGTCAGCCTAGGAGATGAGATGATCTCTTTCTTCAGAAATTGAGTTAGAAGTTCAAACTTAAGTCAGTAAATAGAAGTTCTAGAATGACAGTGTTTTCTAATGATTATAGGTGAGCTGATTTGGAATGGACTACCTCAGGACATAGGGAATTTCCTTATTACTAGGTAGAGGACTGATACTCTATTACAGAGAGGATTCAAGCACTAGGTGTGGATTAGATTCAAAACACTGAGTATCTTTCAGTGTAGTAACTATCATTATAATTATAAAACCCTGGGTATTTTAACACCTTAGTTTATCTATATCTGTATAAAGTAGAATATTGGTTCTAGATAGTCTCAATCCAGGCTAAAATTCTGTTCCCTTTTTATTGATTTATGGCTTTATGGAATCCTCTTACTTTACTTTAAGGTACAACTGTAACCGCTATAACGAGGATGACGCAAAGGCAGCAAGAGACGCACAGGAGGTAAGTACACTTATTTTGAGGTAACAGTTGAACAGGATGTGCATTGTGTTTATTAGGGAATATATTAGCAGGAGTTTTCAATTTTGAAAGATTTATGGAAATATACTCCAGTAAATATTGGGGGAATGTACATTTAGAAAAGGAATCTTATCCAAAATGCATATTAGGAGAATTTCTATTTATAGATTTGTTGCTTTCTTTTAATCTAGACATTCCAGGTTTCAGTAGTCGTGGTGTCAAGGTTTTCCCTCCCCAGCAAGGAGACTAGAGAACAGTAATTGTTAAATAGCTCTGCTCTTATTTAGCAGTCTCACTTATTTTTAATTCTTTTTTTTTTTTTTAAACCTCATTGTTCATCAAGAAGCTCTTTTGGAATGGACTGCCTCAGGAGGTGGGGAATTCCCAGTCACAGAATTGGGGAACACAACCACTATTATAGAAGGGATTCAAGCACTAGGTGTAGATTTTGATTCAACAACACTTTGAGTTCCTTTCAGCCTGTGATTCTGTCATAAGTGTAGACTCCTGGAATTCCTTACATGCCATCCATCCCTTATTGAAATTCCTCAGTTTGTCCCCAAAATATTTCCAAGTGGTTTTCCTTACCAGGATGTAATCCAAAACGTGATCTGTTGCTTCTTGTTTTACTTTTTAAATATTCTTTTAAAATTTATTTCCAATTAAAAATACCATAAGTACAGAAGAGTGTGTGTGTGTGTGTGTGTGTATGTGTATATAAAATCTCTTAATTTGTTATACTGTTAGAAGTGAATGTTCTGTGTCTTTTTTTTTTTAAGACTGGAAAATTATATTTTGTTGATGAGTAGTAGTACACAGATTTTCACAATATTTGTGGCCCTTTTAAAGGGAAAAAGACTTCCACAAATTCCATTGTAGATTTAGATTATATTCATTATAATTTTCTTTAAATATATTTAAACATGAAACCAGCCGTAAACCCTTACGCTTTTATACAACTATACAACCAAACCAAGAGAACTCCAAAACTAGTGAAACTCAAGTTAAAATGGATCTGACAGATGTTGTTTGCTTAAATTAAATTACTGAGTCCTTGTCAGTGTGGCTCAGTTGGTTGGGCACATCCCGTGCACCAAAAGGTTGCCAGTTCAATTTCCATCAAGGCACATGCCTGGGTTGCTGGCTAGATCCCCGATAAGGGGTGTGCAGGAGGCAGCCAATTGATGTTTTGCTCTCACATTAATGTTTGTCTCTCCCTCTCCCTTTCTCTCTAAAAACCAATTGGGGGGGGTGGGGAATTACTGTTGATGGACTGCTATATATGGCTGGTTTTTTTGTTGGTTGGTTGTTTTTTGTTGTTGTTTTTGCTAGTTTATGAATAGTTTATTACATTTCAATAAGTGTATTGTGAATCAATAAAGCAAAACTTACGGGCAAAGAGATCCTTACTTAAGCCAATTATTCTCAAGTGCCAAAATAGAATAGTGCAGGAAGAATATAGAAAAAGAATAAAGGATTTTTTTCCTGATAAAAACTTAAAGTATCTTAAGAACACAGACTTAACTTTATTTAAAAAACAGCCAGCAGCTGGATTTGTCTTTGCCTAGCTGATCTAAGCAGTCAGGTTTTTTTGTTTGTTTTCTAGAGTATTTATTTTCATGTTACTGGTTACATTTCTCTATCCAGATTGTGGTGTTTGATTTACGGGTTTTCTTTCATGTTGAATTTTAGACCTATTTTAATAAGCTGTTTCAGAATTATTGGTCATATTAAAGCAAGTCCTCTAATATCATACATTTTAATATGGTAATTAAAGTTTTCCATTTCATCTTGAGAATTTGACAGGCTTGAAAATATTAGTGCTTTTTAGGGAGATAAAATGCTGAGCAGATTATTTTTCACAGACATATTTTTACATATAATTGCTGTAATTTTTAGATTATTAACATATAACAATATTTTTAATATAATGATTGGATATAATTGGCATAATTTTCCAACGTATAAGCATTGGTTTTGATACCTATCTGACTATTGAAGTAACTGGCTTGTATAGGTTTTTCAAATGTTTCGATGTTTGATACTGGATCATGCGATTGGCTAATTTTGTGATTCAGAGTTAGTATTTTCTAGTAGTGTCTGTGTTCTTAGTTGGCTTTAAGGCATGAGGACAGGAAAAGGGGGTGATGTAAAAGAAAAGAAATATGTATATTGTAAGAAACCCTTTCATAGTGGTAGCATTTAACAGGCATTTATTAATCATTTTCTACATATTAGGTAGGCATAATAAGATTACTTTTTAAAAATCTGGCTCCTCTGGAGATTTACATTGTAGTAGGAGAGAGCTATGTAAATTATTTTTGCAGTGTGATAAATAATATAAAACAAATATAGACCAGATATATTGTTTCTTTGGTGATACTTCATCTATCTTTAAAAATTTTTACTGTTAACTGCAATGCCATATATATATTTATTATATATTATAACATTATTTTTAAATTATACTGTATATAGTTTGAAAGCAATACTTTGTTAATATCGTCAACTCTCCAATGTTCAGATATGTCCCCATTTATCTCATTATTTTTTTATTTTATTTTTTCAAATATGTCTTAATTCAGAGAGAGGAAAGGGAGAGGGGGAGAGAGAGATAAACATCAATGATGAGAGAGTCATTGATCAGCTGCCTCCTGTGCACCTCCTACTGGGGACCGAGCCCAAAACCTGGGCATGTGCTCTGACCAGGAATCAAACCACGATCTCCTGTATCAGGTCGATGCTCAACTGCTGAGCCATGCCAGCTGGGCATAAATTTTTTTAATAGTTGCTTTAAATCAAGATCCACACAGATCCACAAAATGGGTTTGATACCTCTTGAGTCTCCTCTAATCTTTAAGTCCTTCCTTTATTTTTTATTTATTTTTTTCTCTCCTTTCCATTTATTTGTTGAAGAGACTAAGTTATTTTGTCTTACAGAATTATCCATATTCGCATTTTGCTGATTGCAGCTCCCTGGTGTCATTTAATAGGTTCTTCTATCCCTGTATTTCCTGAACCTGGTGGTTAATTCTAGATACTTGAAATCAGTCTCAGTTTGGGGAGGCACGGTGTGGAAAGGACATAAAACTCTTAGCTGGTGGAACTGTGTATTGCAGTATATCAGGAGCAATATGGTGTCTGGTTGCCTCTCTGTTTTCTAAATCTATTTTAAAGTTGATATTAAAGAGGAGAAGGGAAAAAGAGAGAGAGAAACATCAATTTGTTGTTCAACTTATTTATGCATTCATTGGTTGATTCTGACCAGGGATCGAACCCACAACCTGGGCATATTGGGACAACACTAACCAACTGAGCTACCTGGCCAGGGCTGTATCTCTGTTTTCTTCTTCAAAAATGTGATGCTTCTTGCTTTATACTTTATTGCTTACTGTAGAAGAGTAGAACTTTCTGTAATGATGGAAATGTGCTTTATTATCAGTGTCTGATTTGATAGCCACTGACTATGTATGGCCATTAAGTGCTGAGGAACTGAATTTTTTATTTTAATGTAAGTAGCCACATTTTATTGGCTGCCATATTGGAAAGTACAGCTATGGGACATTCAAAGCAATATTAAATAACAAAGCTAGCAGTAAATGTCTGTCCCTGATTTTAGCCAAATTCCTATACTTTCATCAGTAAATTGATTGTTCGCTTTTGTTTATATATACTACATTTGTCATAATTATATAACCTTAATTTTTCTTAATGGGCCAGCGATCTAGGGCAGCTCTGCAGAGGTACCTGTTCTACTGCAATCGCTATATGAACCACATGCAGAGTCTACGCTTTGAGCACAAATTGTACGCTCAGGTGAAGCAAAAAATGGAAGAGATGCAGCAGCATAACATGTCCTGGATCGAGGTGCAGTTCCTGAAGAAAGCAGTTGATGTCCTCTGCCAGTGTCGTGCCACACTCATGTACACTTATGTCTTCGCTTTCTACCTCAAAAAGAATAACCAGTCCATTATCTTTGAGGTAGGAATAGTTACACAGGTGGGGGAAAGGGCCCACCTGTGTCATAGGGACTACTTGGTCTTTCATAGATAAGATTATATAGAGAGAGTTTTAAAGGTTCCTATCTGCTCAGAAAATATGGATATAAAATGTAGTATTTGTTGGGAAAATACAAAAAATTTAGATTTCTTGTCCTAAACTACATTCAAACTGATGTGTGTTAGCCAGCTAGCAATTCACTGTGCAGGCTCTAGAGTCAGCCCTGAACCTGAATCTTGACTTCATCACTTGTTAGCTCTGTTGACTTGAAGCAGATTGCTTAACCTCTTCTATATTTGTTTTAAAATGGAAATAATACTTTTCTAGGATGTTATAGATAAGCTTTAAGTGAGGCAATCCATATATATTGCTTCTATACCACCTGGTATGTCATAGCTCTTAATAAAAGCCTTTTTTCAGGCAAAACTAATATGTGGTGTTAGAAGATAATATGGTGGTTATTTAATGACTAAAGGGGGCTTTAAGCAGTAAAAGGTTTTCAAGTAGATATGCTTGTTTAAAATTGATGCAAGAAACATTGGTGTCGATAGGTGACTAGACAGTAATACTGACTAGCAGATGGGAATTTAGGTGGATGAATGTATAGAACTAGCCATTGTAGTAAGAGATAACAAGGTTTTAATCTCTCATATAGCATTCTCTTAAAAGAAGTAGGAGCGGCCAGACCTAAGCAAGAATAGGTTTCTGTTTCTTCCTCAAGTTTCCCTGTTAGTTTTAGCAAATAACAATTCTCAGAACTAGCAGATTCCTGAAGACTTTTTCAAATCCTTTCAAATTGTCCTTGATATTCTTTCAGAGGTAATGGGTAAATCTTTAGTTCTTTTAACTTAGAACAAATTGTCTTTATTGTCTTCTTTTTTTTTTATTGTTTTTTAATCCCCACCTGAGGATATATATATTTTTCCCCCTCCATTGCTTTTTGGAGTGGGAGGAGAGAGATAGAGAGATAAATAGAAACATCAATGTGAGAGAGAGAGAGACATCAATTGGTTGCCTCCCACCAAAACACTGACCAGGGCCAGGGATCGAGCCTGCAATGGAGGTATGTCCCCATGGTCGGAATCAAACCCAGGACCCTTCAGTCTGCAGGCCAAAGCTCTGACCACTGACCCAAACCAGCTAGGGCATAACAGATTGTCTTTGAAAAGAGAGAACAAGTTGTTAGAGGCAAAAGCAATAAAGAGCTTTACAGGTGCAGTTAAAACCACCAGTGAACATTATGGCATCTGTGTTGAAAACAGTCTCTAGGTAAGGAAGCAGCTAAGATGGTTTATCTTTCAGCTTTTTTTTAAAGCCAAAATTTACTATATATTTTTCCTCCTCTTGCAGAATAACCAAGCAGATCTAGAGAATGCCACAGAGGTGCTTTCGGGCTACCTTGAAAGAGATATTTCCCAAGATTCTCTACAGGATATAAAGCAGAAGGTACAAGATAAGTACAGGTGAGATTTTTTAATAGTTTTTGAGCAAAAGATTGTGCCATTGGTAGTCTGGTATGCCTTAGTGCTGAAGTTAGGTAATAGTGAAACTTGGGTTTAGCATATCCAGTTTAACTAAGCTACTGCTATGTTTCTCATAGGTTACTTCTGTCCTTTGGGCAATAAATTACAGATAGTAGTGCTAGTTAAATTTAGCAGAGGAAAGCAGCCATTTCAGCAGTATCTTGCCAGCTGATTTTGCTTCTTCCTTTCAACTTATTTGCTGCCCTGCAAGGAAGAGCCTAAAAAGGGCAAATGGCCATTAGGATGAGTGATGAGATTATGATGCTGGTCTTACCCTGGGGATCCTGGTTATTGACAAGTGAACTACCCAGGTTTTCTTTAGAGTTTTTATTAGATTTTTTTTTTTCCGCCCTAAGGAGAGATTACTTTGTCGCAGGGGTAGATAGCACTTCAAGATATGCTCTCTCTTAAGCTTAAAATGTAAAATATTTGCTTTCTCCATGTGGAGGTTTTTCCCCCAAAGTTGTTATCTGGCAAATACTAATACCTTTTTAATTGTAGTAGAAACCTTTGGGAATTTGGAAGACTTGGAGATTTAGTCCTAAGTAATATTTTTACATCCCTTAGCCAACTATAGCTACTACATTGTGTTTATGGTACTTTCACAGTTAACAAAGATTTTATAAGTGTGAATAAATAACCCTTGAAATTACTACTTCTTGAAACTGTTTACTTCTAGGTAGAATGACAGAATTGAATCAGATGATTTCTAAGGTCCTTAGGAATTTTTAACATTTTATTGCTCTAAAATTTCCCAAACTGGGAATCATGGCTCTTAAAAAATACCTTTTTAAAATTAGAAACAGTTTGTTGTGTCTTTACATCTAAACCTGAAAATGTGCTATTAAAAACAGGTGTGTAGTTCTAAGTCTTGATAAAATGTAGGGGCAACCTAAAGAATAAGTGTTTTTTTTTTTAATTACTGGAGGCTGACAACGTTTTCTTTTTCTCTCTGATTGCAGATACTGTGAGAGTCGACGAAGGGTTTTGTTACAGCATGTGCATGAAGGCTATGAAAAAGATCTGTGGGAGTACATTGAGGACTGAGAATGGCCCTGCATAAAATGAACTCTGAAAACTTTACCATCTAGAGTGCTCATGCAATTAAAACAAACAAAACAAACACAAACAAGGAGGCACTAAGCCCATTCTGACACTGCTGGTCTATAGTACCAGAATTCTGTTTGTTAACGGAAAATTTAAGTAAATTATATTGTAATAAAAAAAGGTAGATAAACCATTGTACAACAGTATTCTAGGCCGCCAACAAAAGTGTGGCAACCACACTGAAAGCCCTCCAACTTTAACTTGTAGCTTCATTCTCAAAGCTGACTCGTTTTTTTTCTTTTTCTTTTCCCTGAGTATAGTACAGTTAAAATTTAAAACAGGTCCTTGACACTGCTTTTCATGCCCAAACCAGCCATTTTGTTGTACTTTGGTAAAGGACCTCTTCCCCTTCATCCCCTACACATACAAATACACCTATACACAGAGACTGACTCTTTCTCTCATACCCCAAGGTAATGAGTGAATGATGATTAGTTCCTTGTAAAGAAAATTCTTGGGGTGGGAAGGGGATAGGCAGCAGGCGGAATTAAAAAAAAACAACAAAAAAAAAACTTTGTATATGACTTTTAAAACAAGAGGACAACACAGTATTTTTCAAAATTGTATATAGCGCATATGCATGGACAAAGCAAGCGTGGCACGTGTTTGCATAATGTTTAATTACAAAAAAATATTTATTCTTTAAAAATCTTCCAAGATTATGTCTATTTGCTGTGCTTTTTTTTTTTTTTTTTTTTTTTTTTTCCTTTTTT